ATTCACCATCAGACACTGTTCCAGACATCATCTTGACCATTTGAAAGGAGAAAAAAACACTTTATACGAAGAATTGAAGGCTATTTGCTCAAGGAACTTGCTTTATCTCCCACCTGTAGTCCCACCTGTAGTTAATGCACTTGGCTGCTAACTGAAAGGTTGGTGGTTTGAGTCCACCCAGAAGTACCTCAGAAGAAAGGCCTGGCAGTTTACTTCCAGAAAATCAGCCATCGAAAACCGTATGGAGCACAGTTCTACTCTAACACACACGGGTTCACCATGAGTCGGAATTGACTGGATGGCAACTGGTTTTCTTTGGTAGTCTTAGGAAGTTGGTAGAAAGATAACTACGGGCAGACTCACGTGTCCTTACAAAATGAAGGAAATGATATCGGGTCAAAAGTTCAACCTGACATATAAGGCTCAACAGTTTGTAACCATTTTATATTGTTGTAGTTAAAGCAGAAACTGAGGTTGGTAAAGATGGAGCATTGCGACAAGTGGGGAAATATGAATGCTTTTGTCATTTGGGCTTCGCAGGGCTTGAACTCATAGCTGCTCTCTAGGTGGACTCGTACATACAGCAGTGGTTCTCAAGGGGGTGATTTTGCCCCCTGGGGAACATTTGACAGAGACTGGAGATGTTTGGGGGGATAGGGGGAGGTGCTGCTGGCATCTAGCCAGTGAGGGCCACGGATGCTGCTAAATGTCCTGCAGTGCACAGGGCAGCCCCCAGAACAAAGAATCATCCTGCCCCAGATGACAATAGTGCCCTGGTTGAGAAACCCTGGCATAAATTATATGTGGTTTCTAAAGGGCCATTTCCCACTCTGTCACCCAAGTGTCTCTTCATATCACTCTGCCCTCACTTTTTAACTGAGTTCCCTCATTGCCTATGAATTCCTTTGGTTTGCTTTCTCTGAGAGTCTGTTTTTCTGGTTCAAGTAAATAGTGAGGCGGCTGTGGTTGGGAAAGGCAGGGGAGGTGGTGCCAGAAAGCATTCCTCCAAACTGTTCTCAGCAGGTTTTTTTATTTTTTATTTTTTAAAGCTTTGAAATAATCAGGAACCTTCCTTTTAGGCTAGGATGCGGTTGCAAATTCCAAGGCCTGCCAGATAACATGAATGGGTGCAGCAGCCCAGGTTTAGGGCTCTGCGGGGCCCTGTGGTGAATGTGAGGAGCATGGGACCCAGTGAAATTGGCAAGATTTTGCACTGGGGCTCAGATTTGTTGAATCACTTTGAGGGCTAAACACCCGAACAGCAGGGGGCTGGATCTGGCCGTTTTGCATTCGCTGTGCTAGTTCTTAGCCTGCGGGTGTAGCAGCACCAGCAGAGGGCCTTATCCACAGCACGCATTGAGTAACTCGTTTTCATTTTGTATTTCAAATCTCAGTGCAGGCGATTTGTTTGCCTTTCAAGGAATGTAAATGAGGCAGTAGTGGTTCCGTGCTAGAGTTCTTGCCTTCCATGAGGGAGACCCGGCTTCGATTCCCAGCCAATGCACCGCACGCAGTCAGCACGCATTTGTCAGTGGAGGCTCGCGTGTTGCCTGGCTACTGACTTTGGATAAATCATCCAGTGAAAACTCTATGGATCACAGTGGTCCAACCCACAACCGATCATGCGGATGGCGTAGGACCAGGCAGGTTGTTGGGCCCTGCCCCAGGGATCCTGATTCAGCAGATCTGGAGTGGGGTCCAAGAATTTGCACTTCTAACCAGTTCCCAGGAGCCCTGGTGGCGCAGTGGTTAAAACTCGGCTGCTAACCAAAAGGTCAGCAGTTCAAAGCCACCAGCCACTCCTTGGAAACCCTGTGGGACAGTTCTACTCTGTCCTGTAGTGTCGCCATGAGTCAGAATCGACTCGATGGCAACAGGGTTTTAATAAGTTCCCAGGTGATGCTGATGCTACTGGTCTGGGAGCCTCGCTTTGAGAACTGCTGCCTTAAAAAGACTCTTGGACATGCATATAAGGAGGCATGAACAAAATGATCCATAAACGTTGTACCTAATAGGCCCAAGCTAGAAACCCCTGGAGGGTGCAAATGGTTAACTTACTCGGCTGCTAACCAAAAGGTTGGTGGTTCGAGTCCACCCAGAGGCAAGTCAGAAGAAAGGCCTGGCAATCTCCTTCTGAAAAATCAACCATTGAAAAGGCTGTGGATCACAGTTCTACACTGACACACACGGGGTTACCAAGAGCCAGGATTGACTCGACAGCCACTGGCTGGCTGGTTGGATGGCCATACAAGAACAGAGTGTATGGCAATCAAAATGAATAAGCTCCAGTCCCTGTCTTTACAGGATGAATCTCACAAAGTGTTGGTGAACAAAATCAACAAGGCAAAGAAAGAAGGCCTGCAATGTGATTCCATCTATACAAATTCAAACACAGAGAAAATGAAGCTATCGCCTTTGTAAACCCACTCATAGATACTAAAACCATAAAGAAAAAGAAGAATTGGAACAGCAATTTCCTGGGATGGAGCGAGGGCGGAGAATGGGATGCGAGGGACACAGGGGCTCCTCGGGTACCAGCAGTAGTTGATAACTTGATTATGTGAGGTTTGCCTTCTAACTATTATTTAAACGGTACATTTATATTTATAGATATTTGCAGTATATGTTTCATAATTTTACAAAGTTTTGAAAATTATTCCACCTTACAAGAAAGTGCTCCCAATTTTGTATGTCTTCTGGTTCTTTGACAAGTTGTTTGAAATTTAGGATCTGTCCATTGGTTATGAAAATAAATCTCTCAAACTTTAATATATGGTTTAGTTATTCTGCTGGGTCAACTATTAAAATAAGGAATTACAGGGTTTTTTGAAGAAAGACCATTTTGTTACCGTCAAATACATATGGTGATATGAACTCATGATGAACAAAGAGTTACAAAGTCTCGTCGTTCCTATTTAGAGATCAGATGAGCACCTTGGGTAGTTAGTACAATTATTATCTACCTATACATAAGTAGTCATGGTAAAAACCAGTTGCCATATAGTTGACTCCAATTCATGGCGGCCCCACGTGTATCAGAGTAGAGTTGTGCTCCATAGGGTTTTCAATGGCTGATTTTTTTGGAAGTAGATCACCAGGCCTTTCTCGAGACGCACCTCTGGGAGGACTGAAACCACCAACCTTTGGGTTAGCAGCCGAGTGCATTAATCGTTTGCACCACCCAGGGACTCCAGTAGTCATGGTAGGCTTTAGTAAATAGCTCATCTTTAAACTTGAGAGATACGAACATATATCTGACGAAGGGATCACTGAGTCTTTGCTGCATTATGTAACTGTTCTCTGTACAAATCTCATGACTTCATTGGTGAAGACTCTTAGGAACTATTTCCATTTCATGGGAGGGGAATCATTTTTGAAGTCTTTCTTTGCTTTTTGAAAAGGGAAGAGGAATTGAATGCGCCTGTTGATTATATTGTGATGTTCTTTTACCTCCAAAAATTCAGAAAGGAGGAGTTGGCTACATCTGTGGCCCCGCGAGGATCCCAGGAATGTTCATGTCTGGTATTAGAGTCTTGCTTTTAGATTCTATTGGGCTGAGTTGCTTTCTTTAATACACTCTTTAGTATGTCTTTTAAAAAAACAAGTCTTAATCCCCCTTTAAACATCAGCGAAGTTTGCTTGTGGCACGGACTGCCGTTTTCCCTATTTGATCATAGTGTGGCTTCCGGATTTGCACATCCCACATGTTAAGTTGACAGCTGCATAATCCCGGAATGCATTCCTGCGATGATGAATGCCAGTATTTTATGATGACATCCCAGGAATCCATTTGCAGCTGCCCACTAATATGAGTGGCATCTTTATTATTTGACAAGTCAACCAGACATATTAAGTACATTTGTTGAGAGTGCCAGATGCTAAAAGGATGTATTCCATACTTATTATAGTGAAAAGTTACAAACAATCCAAACGTCCATCTATGGGCGAATGGTTCATTAAATTAGGATACAGTCGTACCATCCACCACCCGTCTGTCTGTTTGTACTCTGGAGGCTTGCATGTTGCTGTGGTGCTGGAAGCTATGCCACCGGTGTTTCAAATACTAGCAGGGTCACCCGTGGTGGACAGGTTTCAGTGGAGCTCCCAGAGTAAGACAGACTAGGAAGAAAGGCCTGGCGATCTATTTCTGAAAATCAGCCAATGAAAACCCTATGAATCGTAACAGAATATTGTCCAATATAGTGAGGGAAGATGATCCCCCTAGGTTGGAAGGCACTCATAATACACAGTGGCCACGACAACGGACTTGAGCATAGCAACAATCGCAGAGGTGGTGCAGGACCGGGCAATGTTGCTTTCTGTTGTACCTGGGGTCGCTGTGAGTTGGAGCCAGCTCAACATCAACTAACAACAAATACTATGCAACATCCCCCCCCCCAAAAAAAGTAGATTTGATCCTTCTGGCATGTGTTAAGCTCCCCATTAAGCACTTTATAAGCATCTTCTCAATTGATTATCACAACAACCTATCAAGTTACTCCCATTTGGTAGAAGAGGACACTGAAACTTGTCCAAAGACAAACAGTAAATGGTGTAGTGACAGAACTGAGTTCAGTGGACCCTAAATCCATTTCCTTCTCCAGCTATCCTCTACTCAATTGTGATGTGACAGCTGTATTGTTGACTCTCCTCCCCTGGAGATTTGATTCAAAATGAACTTTGATTTGCATAGACATGGTGCCCAGGAAGAGACTAATATAATAGTAAAGGTAAACATATCCAAATATTAAAAGGAAATTATTTCCAAAGAGGTAAGTTTTCTGCTCTTTCTATAGACTGAAACAGAATTTAAGAGCATGGTTCAAGACTCTGGTTATGTGTACTATCCAATTCCCAGATTTTCAAGTATTCTCTGTTAGAAATGTCAAATTATGAGCAAAGTAAGTGAGAAATCATACTTTTGCTCAAATGTAGTCCATGATAATGTAAAATCTCCCTATGCTTTTTCTTAAAACATCTCATTCTTTCAATATTTACAGATGGACAGAAGAGAAAGAAATCTTTGAGAAAGAAACTGGATTCCCTAGGAAAGGAGAAAAACAAAGACAGAGGTAAAGGACCAAATGAACTAAAGCGAATGCATCTTCCATGGCGCATAATGGTTGAATTTGGTGGAGTTTTCGAATTGCATAGATTTACGAGGTTCAACTCTATTATTTAAACTGGGTTGCTCTGATGGAATGTCATTAAGGGCTGCTTTGGTTTGCTCTTCTGTGTTTGAGTGGCCCTGTCCTGAATTGATGAGTTCAACTGGTTTGCACAGGGTGTGACTTCAGCCAAGTTTATGGTTCCAATTATGATTCTGGCCAATCAGCTATGCATAAAGAGAACCTGGGTTGAGTAGCCATGGACGGCATCTCTAACGTTAACCAGCTGTCTGGCAAATCCAGACCATTAGGCAAGGCTCGGTGAATTTGAAAGAGTTTGGATTCGCCTACCATGACTACTGGAAAGAAACAGGCTAATACTCATGGGTTACTGAAGATGGGCCGTTCTCAGTATTTCTGTTAGATCACAGAAGGCTCAGGCTTTGCCCTATGCTAACCCACCTATATGTTTTGCAAATTGTTGATGCTCTTCCTCTTGTGTGTGCCCTTCTAGGTTTATTTAGGGAAATGACTCTTTGGCCTTTCTGAGGCATTTGGGGTCATTTTTAACAAGCATTCATTGAGCCTACTCAGTGGACACCTGGGCCCCATTAGCACAGTCCAGTTTTTTGTGACCGGTTTCTCTGGTCTTATGTGAGATGACTGCAGAGTGCTGTGGTCATATGAATATATTTCCATTTTGTGTGACATAGTGAGTGAGTGCTGAGCAAGGACACCCAGATGTCTCACCTTGGAACACCTTGCTATGGTGATTCAATTTTTGCTTGAAAAGAAATGGAGGGCAATGAAACTTAGGGTACTAAAGTAAATGCAAGTAATCCAAGACCAACTTCACACCGTGAATCCCAGTCTCTACACCCATGTCTGGAACTCTGCCAAAACTGTCATGACATCTGGTTCTTTGGAGCAAAAAGGAGATTCAGAATTCGAAAGAATGGAAAAATGTTTTATTTCCCTTAGAGGAGGGTTTCTCAATCCTGCCACTATTCACATTTTAACCGGATAGTTCTTTGTGGTGGGAACTCCCATATGTGTTGTAGGATGTTTAGCAGCATCCCTGAGCTCTCTCCACTAGATGTCAGTAGAACTGGTCCAAATCAGAATACCTCCAAACCTGTTGCCGTCAAGTCGATTCCAGCCCATAGCGACCCTATAGGACAGAGTGGAACTGCCCCATAGAGTTTCCAAGGAGCACCTGGTGGATTCGAACTGCCGACCTTTTGGTTAGCAGCCGTAGCTCTTAACCACTATGCCACCAGGGTTTCCCAGAATACCTTCAGACACTTCAGATATCCCCTGGTGGGCGAACAGTCACCCCTGCCTTTAAGGGAATATGGACACAAATTACAGAAGCAGTCCACAGATCCTGATTGCTGTAGTAGCACATGAAAAAACAAAACAAAGGGACTATCTATGGATCATCACCCTTTAGTGTTGCATTCTTTTAAAACATTATCTATAGAAGAGCAAATGGTCAACTATTTTAAAGCATAGATGAGAAGGTTGGGAGGTAAGGAGTTTAAGTTAATGGGAGTGAAACAACTAGAACAGAAGTAACAAGAACGTTGACACAACGAGAAGAATGTAACTGATGTCACTGATCATTATGTCTAGAAGCTGTGGAATGGGAGCAGGTTTTGCTGTGTATATTTTCAACAAAAATAAAATAAAATATTAATTAAAAAAAAAAAAAAGGAATACCTATGGAGAAATCAACCGAGTGATTTGAGGCTGTAGACACAGAAGTAGTGTGTCTTTTCCTTTTGGCTTTGGAAAAGCCCTGTTAAACGACACACAGTGTTTGCTGGTTCAGTGCCAGCAAGAAGAAGCTAGAAGCTTTCTTCTAGATACAGGTAGAAAACGTGGTACCTGAAGACAGAGACATCTTTCTAAGATTGGTGCCTTCAGAGGTCAAAAACAAAAGGCAGAGGGTCAAATCATTCTTCCTTGAACTGAGTCTCCACTCTACCTATATTCTCCCTGCCCTACCGTCTCACTGAGAAGTATTCAATTTCAGCAAATTGTAGCATGACAAGGGACACTTCCAAGCTAGTTATCTCCAGTGTACAATAGGAACTTTTGTAAATGCTGCAAGTTAATTCCTAAGTGGAGAAGTTGATGCCAATGTCATCTTCTCATTAGGTTGGCCACCCTAGAAGCCAACAGCTGACCTCAAATCTGGAAAAAAGAGGTGAACACACCAGTGGTTGTCAACTCTGACTGCCCAATAGAATCACTTTTGGAACCTTTCAAAAATGCCCGTTCCAGATTCCCATCCCAGAGAGGCCATTGGTCCGCAGTGAGGGCCAGACATGGATATTTTTATGCATTTTGGGCATACAATGTCTAGGACAGAGAAGTCTGGTCCAGATTAACCAGGCTACTCACTGGGACACTATCACAGCCGAATTTGCTGCTGGACTAATGAAGGCAAATGGCGTTAACTCTTCTGCAGCTACCTGTCATCATTGTCTGGTAAATTCAAATTTATGTCACTGGTTGAGGTGTTCTTGCCCTTGTTTTGTAATGACCTATTCGTAGCCAGCGTAGCTCTTTTAAACTAGAGTTTTTGATCATTCTGTTCCTGCACTGTTGTTGTTGTTGGGTACCGTCGAGTCGGTTCCAACTCATAGTGACCCTACGTATCACAGAAGGAAACACTGCCTGGTCCAGCACCATCCTCACAATGCTTGTTATGCTTGGCCCATTGTTGCCACCACTGTGTCAATCCATCTCCTTGAGGGTCTTCCTCTTTTTCGCTGACCCTCTACTTTACCAAGCATGATGTCCTTCTCCAGGAACTGGTCCCTCCTGATAACATGTCCAAAGTATGTGAGACAAAGTCTCACCATCCTCCCTTCTAAGGAGCATTCTGGCTGTACTTCTTCCAAAACAGATTTGTTTGTTCTGGCAGTCTATGGTATATTCAGTATTCTTCACCAACACCATAATTCAAAGGCATCGATTCTTCTTCGATCTTCCTTATCCTTGCAACAGAGCACCTTTACTTACCTCGCTAGATTAGAGCAGTTCTCCATGTTTACCGAGTGTATTAAGGGGATCACCTGGTTGTTATTAGTCATGTATAGTGAGACTTGTGAGCTGGAACTTAACGGGACTGCCTTGTTTCTCCAGGTCTTACACGTTTCCACCTTTGACAGGTTGAAGTCTTACCGCTTTTCTGTCTCTCCTTTTAGTAGAAAATATTTGAGTTTTCCTCCTCTGACAGGTTTCCATGTTACACGGGTTCTGGCTTTCACAGGTTTTACTCTATTACCTTTTCAAGTTGGCGTATTCTCGGATGGCGTTATTGACATTGGGATTTAAATACTTGTAGTGTAGACTTTAGGTGAGTCTTCAGAAAGTGGCCATCAGGCTGGGCTAAGCAGAATGAGCGTTTTTGCGGGAGACAAGGTTTGGGTTTCCTCAGCGGAGGGAGGGAGATATATGCGTAATTGCATGTATTACACGCCAGCAGGAGGCAAGGTTGTGAATGAGCGTTGAAGGGCCAGGGGAAGTAGTCAGCCAGTGTGCACTGGGCCAGTATACACTTTTCAGATCCAGTCATATTTGCATGGGCTCATACGAATGCTCAGTGAACACTCAAAAGGGTGCTGTTAGACTGCCTGGCTGGCAGAAGGAAGGCAGGTCCTGGGTGATTCTCAAGCGAAGATGCATCACCCATCCAACTCAGTGACAAAATGGCCAGCTTCAAGGCAAAAGAGGGTTTTGTTTTTTTGTTTTTCTAAGTAGCTTTGATGTTTAAACACAGGGAGTCCTGGGGTTAAGCAAAACTTAAATTACACGGCATCTTTCCAAAACATAAAGTCCGGTCCATGTCAACACTGGAAGCCATGCCTTGGATTCCGGAGAACCAGGGTGTGAGTGGGGTGCTGTGCAGTTCTGGCCCGGCTGTAATCAGTTCATGTTATTTCCTTTCAGTTGAATATTGGCATTTGGGTTTCATAACAGCTGCCATGTGAAAAGTGATAATCATTTGAATCCTATAGTAAGAGAAGGAAAACAGGAAACTCTCAAAGACTGCTATTGCTGGGTCATCTAAAAATAAATAAGAATAGGTGCTTAGGATTGAATTACTCTCCCACTAAAGAGTGTGATTCATAAATGTTGGCTATGCCACTATATTAATTGATTCAATCAGAATGACTCATGCCCTGGATTTTCATTAATTGCCTTGATATAAGATACAGCAGTTACGTGACACTCCTGGGTCTCTCCTGCCACTTAAACAGGGCCCATATTACTTTTGATTTCCACGTGGAAACTAATTTGAGACTGCTGCTGATTCAGAAACCCTATTTCCACACAGAATGGTTCCAGGTTCTTAAGTTCTCTTAATTAAATTACTTGGCAACCAAAAATATTTATTTTGAAAACTTACAGAACTTCCGAAAATTTCTTTCTTGTTTTGAAAAGAAATAGCTTTTTGTTGTTGTTGTTGAAGGTTTAAACATAGCTCCTTTTTTCCAGTTAGTGCAGTTCCTAATCGAAGCATTGAGGAATAGGTTTTCCTGTGGCATTAATTCGAGAGATAAGTCCTGCTCGGGATATTTTCAGATTATTCCATATACTTAAACAATCTACATAAAACTCTTGTGTGCAGTTCAGGCCTGGCACCTCTGTTTATGATGAAATTATATTATGTAGTGTTTTATTGTTCTTCACTAAGTATGTTACTATATGAGACCTGTGAAGTAATGCTATACAGGAATGCATTGATACAACTTTTTGAGTTTATTAAATAAACAGTATTAAATAACAGTAGAAAAATCTAGTATCGGTTACCACTATTTAGACATTCTTAAAGAAAATATATTGAATGCTATCATTGACTGGTTTCTTGGTTACCTATGGCTGCCGTAGCAGAAAGAACACAAGTGGGTGGCTTTAAAGAACACAAATTTATTCTTTCAGTTCTGGAG